AGCTCCCATGATAGAAATGGGAGCTTTGTGATTGGTATGTAATGTCTAAGGATAAAATTTGGACATTACATACCAATCACACTTGAAAACCCCATGGAAAAAGAAAGGGAGGGAAATCAAAATACCTCATGAAATCTCACCCACTCACCATAAAGACAAACTTCAAATTCTCAGGAAAAGCATTACTAAGCTCTAGAGAAAACAGGAAAAAAACCATCATTTTGTTCACCATGAATTCAGTAAGACCTTCGTGTCCATCTAGCAATATTTTTAGCTGCCTTAAAAAAATTATGTTTTGCAATAGTGAAGAGTTCTCAAGGAAAGTATTCACTGCCATGTCCTTCAGCAGTTTCCACAATGAAACTGTATTAGCAAGAAGCAATTTTTGCTCTTTGCCATGGCTGGCCATTTTGTTATTGTTTCCTCTTGGTACTGCCACTTCTGAACCAATTACTCCCTGTATTGGTTCTCCTGGAGAAGTTTGTATATGATCCTCTCCATGGCACCTCTTGCCTCTGTCGACATCCTACAGCAAGAACTTTCAGTATTCTGAATTCCAGCTTCTCATGGAGAAAGTCTCTGTATTTGCACAGCCGGCCATTCCCTATGAAGAGCTTGTCTTGGAATTATACTGACCGATGGTGCAAAGCCAGTTCCTGAGTGAGGAGCACTGGCAGAGATGAAGGCTGAATCTACATGGACACAGTCTCCGTCATCTGTCGTATTGACATGAAATCTAAAAAGTGAAAAGTACAAATTAGAGCAGAACTTTAACATAAAAATTAGAAGACCTATTTCTTACTTCCTGTAAAATTGGGTCATTGAGATTGTGGAGAACAAAGTAGAGAATGATTTAAAATGAGCCTCACTTCTCACTGTAAAGATTAGAACTCTTGTGCACGTGAAATGTGTGGTGATGCTCTGATGCACCTTCTATGAAAGCAAACTGCTTTGATCCCCACAGAGATGTGCCAACATGCACTTGTACTTCACAATCTACAATGGGCTGTGAGCACAAAAGGCACAATTCTCCAGGGCAGGAGAGAGAGGATTCCAGCAGGACCTGTGGCAGCACTACTCCTCCAGTACAGACTGAGGCCTTGCCACTAATGTTGCTGAGCCTCAGCAGAATACCCGGGATGTGGCTGCAAAGAAAGCCAATCTCTAGGATACAAAGTGGGCAAAACCAATGCCTTCTGAGACACAGCCCCCCAGACCAGTGACCTTCTGGTACCCCAGCTGGTCTTAGAAGGTTCTGTTGACACTACCTGAGTGTTGAACCCTGCAAGACTAATGGGGAAAGCTAACTCAAACAATTTATAATGTCCAACATTGGTAATTCTTCCTAATAGAGCAAATGTCATCCATCTCACACAGTGGGATTATACAGAAGCAAGTTACTCTAGACATAACCTAACAGCTGCTGTGCAACTATAGGAGAAAGCAGGCAATGATGCCCCTTCCCCACTTCTCTGGGGACATAATTACTTTTATTAGCATCATTAGCATCTTTACACACATACGACAGCCCTCATTTAATAGGATACACCAGCTTGCCTACCGTAGAATACGTAACATAGAAAAACTTTTCTACTTGGACAAAAAAGCTGCAGGTTCTCTTCCTGCATAGCGTATTTGAAAACTCACAAGTTTGTGTCAAATGAGGCTCCATTCACCCAGAAGAATTTGTTTCCTTTCCTGCGCAGCCCAATGCAGAAGTTTATGACAACATATTCGATAGATAAAGTTCTAGACAAAACACAGAATAAAATGACATATGGCTATTAGAACTATTTTATGAATATGATTATATAGCTTTTTGTATAAAAACTGCACAGATATAAACTGTGTCACAGAACATACAATGCTAGACTTTTTTTATCCCAGAGGTTTTGCTGCTAAGTTTAATTATATGAAATACTAAAGGAAGCCCTATTTCCACTACTACTAGCCAGTGAGATCCCAGCTATTTAGCTGGTAGTCATGCAGAGTGCTATCACAGAGTCATAGAATGTCTTATGTTGGATGGGACCTTAGAGATCATCTAATCCAACCTCCCTGTCATGGGCACGGATGCCCTTAACTAGAGCAGGTTGCTCAAGGCCTCATTCAACCTGGCCTTGAACATGTCCAGGGAGGGGGCATCCACAACCTCTCTGGGCAACCTGTTCCAAAGTCTTGCCACCCTCGTACTGAAGAATTTCTTCCTAAGATCCAATCTAAACCTATTCTCCTTCAGTTTAAATACATTTTTTCTTGTCCTATTGCTGGACACTCTTGTAAAAAGGCCCTCCCCAGTCTTCCTGTAGGTTCCCTTCAGATACTGGAAGGCAGCTATTAGGTACCCCTGGAGTCTTCTCTTCTTGGGGCTGAACAATCCCAGCTCCCACAGCCTGTCCTCATAGCAGACATGCTCCACCCCCTGAATCACATTTGTGGCCCTCCTCTGAACATGCTCCAACAGATCTGTGTCCCTCATATGGTGGGGACACCAGAAGTGGATGCAGCATTTGAGGTGGAGTCTCACAAGAGCAGAGTAAAGGGGCAGAATCACCTCTCTTGATCTGCTGGCCACACTCCTCTTGATGCATCCCAGGATAGGGTTGGCCTTCTGGGCTGCATGAGCACACTGCCAACTCATGTTGAGCTTCTCATCTATCAACACCCCTAAATCCTTCTCTTCAGAGCTACTCTCATCACACTCTGTGCCCAGTTTATATTTGTGCCTGGGATTGGTCCGACTGAGGTGCAGGACCTTGCGTTTTGACTTGTTGAAGCTCATGTGGTTTGCAGTGGCCCATTTCTTGACCCTGTTAAGGTCCCTCTGGATGGCATCCCTGCCCTCAAGTACTTGGGTCCATGGCACCACACAGCTTGGTGTTGTCGGCAAACTTACTGAGGGTGCACTCAATGCCGTCATCCATGTCACTGACAAAGATGTTGAACAGCATTGGACCCAGAAGAGACCCCTGAGGAACACCGCTTGACACTGGTCTCCATGTGGACATCGCGCCATTGACTACAACTCTTTGAGTGCGACCACCCAGCCAGTTCTTTATCAATCAAGTGGTCCACCCATCAAGTTCATGTCTCTCCAGCTTAGAGACAAGGATGTCGTGTGGGACAGTATCAAATGCTTTGCACAAGTCCAGGCAGATGACATCAGTCGCTCTTCCCATATCAACCAGAGCTGTAACCTTGACCATCCACCTATACTCTATGGCACCTCATCACTGATAACATCCACATATGTCATTAGAAATACCCTATCACATTACACAATAGTCAACTAGTACAATGGTTTCACTGTATCACCAGGAAAATGGTGTTTCAGTACACGGACACGCATTTAGCAGGGACGAAGTGCCTGAGTTGGCACAGGATGCCTTGACACCTGTGTCACCACAATTCCTTGGATGTCAGTTACATTGCATCTCTATTGAATTCAAGTGACACATTTAGAATTCCTCAACTTCCTAAGGTTCACACTTTTATTCTTGACACTAATTGTATCATAAATCTGTGAGTTCGTTCTGTTTTCCTGCTCCTTATATTCCTAACCATAAAGTCAGTTGGGACTACCTAAACCCAAACTCCATTTGCAGACACACACAGTTTACCATCTGCAGCATGAATAAAACAAAGCCTTCCTCTATTATTTCCTTATGATCCTATAATTGCCTCTGAAAACACGCTTGCTGTAGTGCAAGTTCCTTTTGTTTTTTCTCAGCCAGAACACCCTGAGTTAGCAGGACACTACAGAAGACTTAAAGAACGTATTAAAAAGAAAAATGGTTTGAAAACAATAGAAAACACATGTAGAACCTACTGCGCAAACCGGGTTATTTTCAGTGCCATTGGTCCCAGCATCATATAACCACAGCCAGACTTTCCTTTTTGTGGAAACAGAGCTATTTACTATTTTGCACAGAACTAGCAACACTCAGTTGGTCACTAAATCATTTGTTATGAGGAAGAAAGCACCCTTTTAAAAGAACTGTGTCCTTACAGAGCATCAAGAAGATAAAACACATAGATGTGCACCAGTGGTCTGTAAACTCAAAATTAGTTTAGAGTTATATGTACTGTGGGAATTGCTGTTGACTGTACTCTTGGTACCCTGGAGAGGCAATGAACATCAAGAGGGTGTGAGGGGAGAGGTCAGGCTAAATTGCCTCACTTAAAATGCACACATAAATTTTCAGTTAAAACCACCCCAAACAACAAACCACAAACACAACCCAAAAAAACCAACCAAACAAAAAACCCCCACACCTTCTTCATTTTTAATTAGGAGTCACAACTCCAATTTTATATTCTTTCAGAAATCAGTTTTAATTTATACATAGTTGACCTTTTAAATTTCTGGAATACCCTCTACAGTTAACAACAGAATTTCTGCACTGAAAAAGTCCATAGGTACCCACTCACACAAACAACTCTGCTGAGTTTCAAGGTATACATGGAAGAAGTGATGGAGTTACAGAAACGGTTAGGGTAGCAGACAGAGCACCAAATTAAAGGTGCTGAACACCTTACCAGCTCCTGGTGACTGTCAATCACTGCAAGAGAAGCTCCATAATGAGAGCAGGCCTCCTGACTGTAATGCCAATCTGCCTCGGCTCCTGAATCACAGTAACACTTCTTCTGGTAGCACAGCCAGTCATCAAGGCATGGCTCCAGCTGTAGTAATTTAGACAGATCTTTTTTCAAAGGAAGAAATAAAAAGAATGATACTTGCTCATCATTTTGTATTTAAAATACAATTGTGTACACTTTACAAATTCTAGACCAACTTCCTCCAGCTTGCACTAATTAAACAGGAGATGGATGAATATAATACAACTGAAGGTTGCACTCAGTCTTAGTCTTTTCCAGTTGTATCAGCTACGGTGGGTCCAGTAATCCCTGATTTTGTACAAATACACTGGCCACGTGTCAGCAAACAGGCGCTAACACGTGCAAGTTTTTCCTCTCCGGCGAGTCCCCGTCTGCCCCAGGAGCCGCCTTCCCACCACCACCGGCGCCACCGACCGGCCACCACCGGGGGACCCGCCTGGGGCCAGCAGCGGGTCGGAGAAGATTCCCCGCCGGAGCCGCGCAGCTCGTCCCAGCGCCAGAAACAAATGGAGGACGGTATTTACATCTGTCCCTGTTGATTTTCCTTCCCTATCTTAAGCTTTTGTTTAAACAGAATCAATCAGTCACATTTTCTTGGAGGGGATGAGGGCAGTGCTCACAGGGCCCTTGCTAAGGGGTCTCCAATTATATATAGCAAGGAGAGTAGCTGATTAGAAGGGAAAAGAGCAAGTGTGGCACCAGCAGGCTGCAGTCTTGGAGATCAATTCACTTCTTGCAAGACCCTCTACTTGCATAACAGCCAGTTACTTTCATTTCAATATTAGTAATCTCGAACCTTAAGCAGTGGATAAATGCACTTTGGGTACAGGAGGTCTGGATTTAATCCCATCAGGATGATCCAGGAAATACACTTTATACACTGTGTAAGCTTGGGTGTGTTACAAAAGACACCATGCTGCATAGAAAAGGTGACTGTAACCATTCAGTAACAATCGGAGCAGATTATTTTTGCTTGGAAAATAGAAACCAAAGTAAATGTAAATTAATTCTCTCCATTGCAAGAAATTAAACTTGGCACTGAAACAAAACATGTCCTGTCACCCTCACAGAGCTACTGTGACAGAAAGAAGGTGAAGACATGGCATCAAAACATGCTGAGAAACAACTCCAATGAACCATTCTCCAAACCATTATCTCCAAATAATAATAATAACAACAACAACAACAACTTTTACCTCTTCATTAACAGGCAAATTTCATTAGTGTCATATCAACACCTGATTTACTTACCTTCACATAGACTCATCAACCACTTAAACATCTCATACAAAATCAAAGCGACTTCTCTTCATGAAATACTTCACTGGCTGTAGATATTCAAGCAACTTCATTACTTAAAATGAATTCAATTGGTAAATTAACAGTATGAGGTTTATTAGCCTATTACTGGATTTAAAATCTGTTGAGTATAAATTTTCAATGCCTCTAATTCTCTAAAATTCAGGAGTGTTTTTCCAAACCCTACTTATTTTCTACTGATTGTAATAATTAGGCTTCAGCCCTCACCCCTCAAGTTTCTCAGCTGAAGACTGTACCTGAAAGGCAAGGAAGGTTAGGACCCTTACCCTTCCTTTGGCTTCTCTTCTGGCATCTAGTGTGGCACTGACTTTCAAAAAAATCTACATTTTAAGTTGAGTTATGCTGATGGATGTTTACCGGGTAGAAATTTTGTTCTCTCTTTTCCTTTGTGATAATAGGTAAGACATCTCACCACGGAAAAACTCCTGATCCATGCCCCAGTGAATGGTTAGGTTATAAAAGGAAATGTTATTTCATCTCAGAGGAGGAGGAAAACTGGACGTCTTGTCAGATCTTCTGCGCTAAGAATCAATCCTTGCTAGCCGTTTTTGACGGATGGGAAGAAATGGTAATGTAAAAAAAAAAAAAAGAAAACAACAGCAAAACAGAACCAAGTTCTGTATCTCTCTCTTTCCTTGACAAAGCTTTCATTATTTTTTTCTTTTGCATTAAATACTTATCCTTTAAACAATAATGTTTGTTAAAATACTTTCATTTGCCTGTATTATGTTCCAGTTGCACTGAGTCAGTGAATGCTAGTGACATCTTGCTGCTGCGTGTTACTAATACTTTCTAGTATGCTTTTACAAATCTACTGTCTATTGAATATTGTCAATGAGAAACTAGTTTCATCAGAAAGTTAGTTTTTAGACTGATCAACATTTGACCTTTCTTGTTACAGTGATTGTTGAGTGGAGGTCAAAAGGCTGAAATGGAGCAAACATCAGTGAAATTACACGAATTAAGTCACACCTGAATTTGATGTGAGCTAATAAATATTTTTACGGCAACAAGAATTTCAATAATGAGAAAGATGCAGGGCCTAATTCTTAACTTCATGTAGGAGTCCCTTACTGCGTGTGGTCTTTCATTGCATCCCATCATCAGACCCATTTCTTTGCCAATAGCCTCAACCGTGCTTGCCAGCTTGTCCCCTGTCCACAAGCTCCTGCGTTGCTGCCCAGGGAGCAATCACCTCTTACCAAGTTTCTAAGTGTCTCTCTTCCTTACGCATCTAAGATTCTTGCTTCTAATTCGGTGCCTGTGATACTGAGCTGATTGCTGCCTAGGTCGAAATCATTGTTATTGAATCTGCTGCTTAAAACCCTTATACCTCCAAATTAGACACAACCTTGGAAAGTAAAGCACCGGAACATTGACGTTGACTTTACTGGGCCAGGTTGGTGCTTGGTGGTGTGTGTTGTCTGGTCTCCAGCACTGGCTGACACCAGAAGAAGGGTCACCAAAAACTGCAGAATTGGCAGTGGGACTGTACGGAGATGGTTTCTTCTGAAACATATTGAATTGAAGTTGCCAGGAGGAGTATAAGGGTGCTCTCTTTCCATGCCCATTAGTGTCCATGCTGACAGCTAATACTTACTTCATTTTTAAGTTCACTGAGTCAGGCGATAGGTAGCTTACTGCAGGGAGTTGTGTGATACTAACCCATCGCAAGTGCTGTTGCTGTTATCTTCCATCATTCTTTGCCGTGTTTGACAGTGATTGTTGCACACTTCTGAAGTGGTGAACTGTCTTCTACTCTTTTTATCTGTGCACCCACAGATAAAAAAACACTTTAAATTCCTTAAGTAATAATCGGTGCAGGGAAGAGATCCCATATGCCCATGTGAAATGCAGGAAATACCTGCATGTACCAGCCTATTTAGACCAAACTCTGTATATCCAAGAAAGGTTGGACCAAATGATCCTTGAGATGCCTTCCAACCTGGTATTCTGTGTTTCTGTGTAGAGATCGATAAATGTCTATAGACAGACACAACCAATACATACTGTTAGCATAATTTTGTGTTTAGTGAACAGTAATAATTTTCAAGGGTATAGAATTTAGTATCTTCACTGAAGTTTATGATACTATAAAGATTTGTTCAAAAGCAGAATTAGGCTCTTAACTCTCAGTGCAATTTTTATGAAAATGTTCTAGATGACAGGGTGATAAACTAGTCCTCAAAAGACTCAGGAAGAGTTTCCTTCCCATTGTGAGAGCTCATGCTGGCAAAAAAACAGTAATGCTTTTTTTGTTTTGTTTTTTAGCATTCCTTCATTAAGCATTTGAAAAGAGATAAGTACTGGATTGGATTGCGCAAGAAAGGTGAAAACTTCTACTGGGAGAATGGTGTTCGCTTGGAGGTGAACTTGTAAGTTCATTGTGATTGGCTACCATGTACTTAAGCAAGTGTAGCACCATGTTATTTCTGTCAGGATATTTTTTTTTTCTTGTGATTTGTAAGTAAGACTTTGAAAATTAATTTTTTGCAGTTACTACTGAACTAACTCCAGCAGTGTCAATATAGAGAAGTCCTTGATTGAAGAAGTGGTTTTATGGTAGCTCAAACACATCAAGATAATGTTATTGATCATCCCTATTTACTTTATGCATATTTTTCAGTACATAGTATAGACGTTTCAGTCTCTTTTCAGATCTCTGGTGTGATCCTTCATGTTTGTCTTCCTGAAATACACAGTATCTAGCAAATGCACATACACTTTTTAGGGATGAAAGAGAACGAAGTGACAGGTATGAGGGAATAATCATCTTCAGGTGGATTAAGTAGCTTCATAAGAAAAATCATACCTGCTTTTGTGTGTTTGTCACAACCTGCAGACAAGCCAGGTTTTCCCCCTGTTTATGTAAGAAAATGTGTGGGCTACAACAGTTCTGCATCAGGCCTCTCAAACAGCAGTTCCACTTGTCTTGCTCTCCAGAGCATTTATGACCTGAATAATTTGTTTTACAGCAGGCTAAATTATTTGGCTCAGTACTAGAAAATGTTTAGTAATCAAAGTTTTCTTCATGTGTTTTTCCAGGTTCCAGGTACACAATCACTCTGAGTATGCCTACTTGGTCGACTCCACTATTTATACATCATCATGCTCTATGCCCAGGCGCTGTATATGTATCTAGCCCCTTAAATCAGTGACTTAGATCTTCCTTTGATATCGATGCTTCAGATATATACACTGTACAGTCATTTTGGATATATATCAGCCCTGCTCCACAGTGTCTCAGACTGTCTGGAGGCCTGAATTGGAGAGAAAAGGATTTGTCTCGGCTTCTCAAGAGTTGTGCTGTGTTGCAGAAATCTCCAGTGGACGGGTATAGCAGATAGCTGGGGCCACTAACAAGACGAGGCCATCCTGCCTCCACAGGATTCCTGATCTCATGCATATATTCAGCACCAGTGCTGTTCCAGGCATCTGTTTATCAGATTCCCTCTACTACATTCAATTTGGCACTTACCAGTTTGCCACAAGTTTTTTGACCAAGCTGGGCATTTGTAAAAATGACAAGAAATGTTTAAGGCAAACGTTTGTGTGTCTGTCCGCTACAATACTGTTATACTATTGTACTATTTATACTATTATAATATTATACTATTATAGTATTATACTATTATACTATTAAGCTATATTATATTGCTCGCCCTGATGTGTCATGTACTTAACTGACTATCGTGAGTCCAGTCTATGCACTGTGTGTTAGGACACTAGTGCTGAATCAGGTTGCACCCAAGTGCTTCCATGACCAACTGCATTAAGGTTATCCCAGCTTTACACTGGTGCTCTTTGTTTCAAAAGCTGTGGAGACCATTATGACTGACGTAAATAATTTATTTTGGTACATACAGAACACTAAGAGGAATGTAATGAATCTCTTGGACTTGCAATGTGAAAAGTTCCTTTATCGAGTTCCTGGGAAGGGGTTGAGAGAGGAGAGGAGAAGGTGTAAGACAGTTTGAGGCTCTTTGCTGCTGTAACTCGAGCGTTACCTCTGAGACAAAAAGGTAACCAATCTTGAATAAATTGCACTTGAGTACAACTACAGTTTTTATTTGTGTTTGTCTAGGCTGAACTAACATATTTGCTGTTACCAAAGGCCTTGCCCACGTTGGCAGTTTTGAGGAATAATTTTTATTATTAAAACAAAGGTTTGACTTGACATCAGCAGTTTTCAGGCAACACAAGCAACGGATATGCTAGTCAGGAATATTTGCATGCAGACAGTCTCCTTCAGCTTGTTCTTATGAAATTAGTGTTCACAATCAGGTTCTAAGGACATAATGATGTCCACAGAAAGCTGCAAAAGGTGGGAATTATCCGAGAGTGACTGATACAGCAACAGTGACAGACTCACACAAGCCTGTGTTAAATAAACAAGTATTACAATAACTTGTTCAAACATTTCTAAACAGAGATGGGAATGCCTGAATGTCTAGTCATGCATGATTCCTTGAAGTTTGGCAGAATTGCCATTTTTCTCATAGGTTCATTTGTAGGTTGCATAAGAACTTGTTAAACAGATCCTTTCCTTTTTGCAAATATGCCAGTGTCAGCTATTTTGCAGCCATGAATGGTAAACCTTAAAAACAGAAGACATTTCAGAGAGATCATGAGATCAGAGAATAGTTTGGCTTGGAAAGGGCCTTAAAGATCATCTAGTTCCAATGCCCTTGCCATGGGGCAGGGACTACTCCCACTAGACCACATTGCTCAAAGCCCCATCCAGCCTGGCCTTGAACACTTCAAGGGAGATATCAGTCTCAAAGCCATCAGTCATTCCAAATAAGTCTTTAGTCTCCAAATCATTCCTATTCAGAGGTCACTGGACATCCAGATCCTATTTTTTTTCCCCACATCTGAACTTTGCCTCTCCAAAATTGTAGATCCTCTTCTATTTGGGGAAAGGTGAATCTCGGCCACACATACACATTCTGCAGCATCTTCAAGTAGCAAGTACAGTGCTATATCGTCATTAGAAAGAGTAGTACTGCAGTGGGAGTATATGAATCCACAGTGACTGAAAGAAATTCTACTTCTGCTAGTTAGACATAGATGAGCAGAGTATGATCCACCGCAATTCCCAAAGTCACCAGTTGGACAGGTTACAGAGGTGTGATGGGTTTGTGTCTGGTGGTTGGTTTTTTTTGTAGCAGGGTGAGGAATGGCTCTTTACAAAACTTGCAGAGGCTTCCCAAGTCCAGTTAAAGTCAAACTCACCTCTGGGCCAAGGCCAGGCCAGTCAGCACCACTGTGATAAATGTATTTAAGAGACGAAACCTTTGGGGTCAGCCTCTTGGTCCCTTTTTTTTTTTGTTTCTACGTCTCTTTGTCCTTGTTCTGTCTTTTGTGTTGGGGAGTTGTTTGTCTGGAGGAGGGGGAGGTGGGAAGAGTGCAAAATACATGGTCAGTGAGGAAGAGGGGAAGAAAGGCACAGGAGCAGAGTGTTTTCCTGGAGCTCCATGGTGAGGGAGATGGCAGGGTGATGAGAGCTTGCAAATGGAGAAGATCGATGATGGTGAGAACGTCCAGGATTCAGCAGCATGTGGAGAAACCCATGCAGTGGGGGAGACAGAGACCACACAGGAGCAGAGGATGCACCTGAAGCAAACTGTGACTCTGAGGAGGAGCCACATTGGAGCGGAGGACACTGCAACTTGTGGGTGAGTCTCACACTGGTGGGAAGGACTGACATGGAGGAGGATGAGGGTGAACACCACATGGCATCTGGGGGAGTCTGTGAAGAGTTCTCTTCCTGGGAAGGAAGAATTGAATAATGGACAGACCGCACCCTTCACCCTCTGCCCCACCCTGCACTGCTGGGGAGGAAGAGGAAGCTGGGAAGAAGGGAGGGGTGGGGAGTGTATTTAAGATCTGGTTGTATTTATTTATGTCCCTCACTATCCTACTCTGATTTAGTTGATAATGGGTGGTGGTAAATTAAATTTATGTTTTCATTCCAAGTCTACTCTGGTTTTTCCCCACGACCATAAATGCTGAATGAACCCTCCCTGTCCTAGTCTCAGTCTGTGAGCCTTGAGCAGGAACGTTATGAAGTTCAATGGGGACAAGTCTAAGATCTGGGAATACACAACACAAGAATGCAGCTCAGACTGGGATCCACCGGGCTGGAGAGCAGCCCTGCAGAGAGGGACCTGCGGGTCCTGAAGGACATAAGGCCCAGCAGGAGTGAGCAGTGCGCTGCAACAGCAAAGAAAGCAAACAGGATGCTGGGCTGCATTAACAAGGGCATTACCAGCGGAGATAAAGAAGTCATCATACCACTCAGCACTGGTCAGACCACACTTTTGAGTACTGTGTTCAGTTTTGGTCTCCGCTATACAAAAATGATGTGGACAGGCTGGAAAGGGTCCAGAGAAGGGCCATAAGGATGGTCAGAGGACTAGAAGACCTGCCATATGAGGAAAGGCCTAGAGAACTGGGTTTGTTCAGACTTGAGAAGAGAAAGCTCAGGGGAGACCTTATTACCATGTAGCAGCACATAAAGGGTGGCTACCAAGAAGATGGAGACTCCCTTTTTAAAAGGAGTCACATGGAAAAGAAAATGGGTAGTGGATACAAGTTGCTCCTGGGAAGAATTCGTTTGGACTCAAGAGGAAAATTTTTCACCATCAGAAAAAGCAATTAGACATTGGAATAGTTTTCCAAGGGAAGTGGTGGATTCCTCCACTTTAGACAGTTTTAAGGTTCAGCTTGCCCAGGATGCTGGGCCATCTCATTTAAACTGTACTTCTTTACCATAAAGAGTTGGACTAGATGATCCTCGAGGTCCCTTCCACCCTGGTATTCTATGATTCTAGGATTTTTTTGTTGAATTTTCTCCTTCCTCAACCCTTAAGTGACAGGGGTGGATGTGAGCAAGCATATAGTTCTTGGTCACAGCAGGGTGGGCTCAAACTGTGGTAAGAGGCTCACTGAACTGAGTTTATTTCAATCAGAATCAAAGCTGATGTGCTGCTTAAGACCTGTTTCAAGGAAAGAAATGACTGTCACCAGGAGAGCATTTTCACCCTGTTAATAATAAATTCTCAATATCAAATGAAAGACATTTCCAAAAAAGTATCAATTCTTGCATTGGGGAAGAAAACATGAAGAGATGACTACTTCAGCATCCAAAGTTCTTGTTGTATTTTATACTAATATTCTGAAACCTGTATTATTCTATATCCTACCTTATAATCTGTATTGGGTCTTTATTTTAAGTTTCTGATCCTGAATTTTCTCCAGTCTGTGTTATCAGAACCTTAGGATCAGCAAATGTAAAGCCAGAAAAGTGAGAAGTGATGTTTTATATTTTGGGATGAGAAGAGAGATTAGCAATGTGGGTGGGAGGAAGAGGGAAGGAAAATCATTGGTTTACACAGTATGGTCCAACCAACAGGTCAGAAATAGCCTGTAAGAGCAACTATTTTCTCCTTAGACAAAGAACAGCTGTACCTATTTCCTTTGTTGCTCAGGGAAAAGAAGTGCTGGGAATAGAGATAGAGCCCATATATCTACGAGTTTGACATTCAGAATAAGGCTGTTCAAAGGACTTGCAAGCGCAATGCTCTTGTTGATCACTGCAGTTATAAACTACAATGAATAAGGAAAACAGAACAGACATGAGGAAAAAGCAATGAATAGCAAAGCTGAATCTTATCTGTATGTTGAGGTGGCTGGGAAGCTGATGAAATACACTTCTCTTGATTTTCTTGTGTTATTAGATGGGCATATTTTTTCTCGTGTTGATAAAAGTGACATCTCAGTCATTTTCTCATAATCCCCTCCTCTGGCAGCTCCCGTTAGGGCCTTGCAGGCTGAAGTCCAAATGTCCCATGCAGTCAGTGTGCACATGGAGCTGAGACTGACCTGAAAAGAGATGGTCTTAATTCGTGAGACTGAAGTGATGTACACAGACACCTCCATGAAACCATTAGTGTTACTCTGTGGTTCAGTGGGCTCTGAAGTGTGAGGAGCAGCAGGGACATCCACACCAGGGGAAGGAGACAAATGAGTCAGTAAGAGGCAGAGCTAGGAAATACAGAGAAATGGGAACAGAGCAAAACTTGCTATGGCATATAGCAATGGATTTTTGCACTGGCAGAGGACGAGAAGCTGCCTTGC